ATTTGAACAAACTTTGTAGCCCTTTATCTCAGCATGCTACTGGCCAAATATCATTACCCTGGGCATTTTGGTTATTCAGAAGAAGTTGTTTAAAGTTTTTAACATATTTGTCCCCTGTGACCTTGAATATGGGTGGAGGTCATTCATTTGAACAAACTTTGTAGCCCTTCATCTCACCTAGCTACTGGCCAAATATCATCACCCTGTGCATTTTGGTTATTCAGAAGAAGTTGTTGAATGTTTTTCACATATTTGACCCCTGTGACCTTGAATATAGGTGAAGGTCATTCATTTGAACAATCTTGATAGCCCTTTACCCCAGCATGCTAATGGCCAAATATCATCACCCTGGGCATTTTGGTTATTCAGAAGAAGTTGTTTAAAGGCTTTTAAAGACAATTGACCCCTGTGACCTTTAATATATTTGAAGGTCATTCATTTGAACAAACTTTGTAGCCCTTCACCCAAACATGCTACTGCCACATATTATCTCACTGGGCATTTTGGTTATTGAGAAGAAGATGTTTAAAGTTTTTAACATATTTGGCCCCTGTGACCTTGAATGTGGGTGAAGGTCATTCATTTGAACAAACTTTGTAACCCTTCATCTCAGCATGCTACTGGCCAAATATCATCACCCTGTGCATTTTGGTTATTCAGAAGAAGTTGTTGAATGTTTTTAACATATTTGACCCCTGTGACCTTGAATATAGGTGAAGGTCATTCATTTGAACAATCTTGATAGCCCTTTACCCCAGCATGCTAATGGCCAAATATCATCACCCTGGGCATTTTGGTTATTCAGAAGAAGTTGTTTAAAGGCTTTTAAGACAATTGACCCCTGTGACCTTTAATACAAGAGGCCCAGAGGGCCTGTATCGCTCACCTGGATACCTAAGCAATCATGGCAAAATATTCTCCAAATGAGATCAAGGGAATATGACAGACACCAAGGCCAATCCTTGTAGCATAGCTATATTAGATTTTTCATGCCCAGCAATTTTAAGTATGGTTATGGGGTGGGGATCTCAACTGTTTCCAAGCTTTGACTCAGTAACTAGATCCCTAGAGTTGTGGCTAGACCCCCAGGATCAATTCTAATATCATGACTGCATTTGTCTCTTTTTGCCCAGAATTTGTATATATAGTTTTGGGGTGGGGATCTCAACCTTTTTCAAGTTATGGCCCAGGGACTATGTCTCCAAGGGTGGGGCAAGACCCTAGGGACATCCTGGAAGCAAATGTGCATTCTTCTCTTTATACTCAGCAATTGTAACTATGGTTATATGGTGGGGATCTCAACCATTTCCAAGTAATACATTTTATTGGCCCCACCCCTTAGCCCAGGGGGTCAGCACCACCATTTGCACAATTTTGAATCCCTGCCTCCCATGAATACTTCCGACCAAATATGATCAATATAAATGGCATAGTTCTGCAGAAGAAGTATTTATAGCAATATAACCAAATTGCCCCCTTTTGGGCCCGCCCCTCAGCCCCCTAGGGGGTCAGCCCAACCATTTGTACAATTTTGAATCTCCACCACCTAGAGATGCTTCCAGTCAAATAAGGTTGATATCCATCACTTAGTTCCAGAGAATAAGTCGCTTAAAGCAGTATAGCCAATTACCCTTTTTGGCCCTGCCCCGCAGCTCCCTGGGGGGTCAGCCCAACCATTTGTACAATTGTGAATCTCCACCACCTAGAGATGCTTCGAGTCAAATAAGGTTGATATCCATCACTTAGTTACAGAGAAGAAGTTGCTTAAAGCAGTATAGCCAAATACCCTTTTTGGCTCTGCCCCTCAGCTCCTTGGAGGGTCAGCCACACCATTTGTACAATTTTAAATCCCTGCCTCCCAGGAATGCTTTTGATCAAATATGATTGATATCCAGTGCACAGTTCTACAGAAGAAGGCGTTTGTAGCAATATAGTCAAATTGCCCCCTTTTGGCCCTGCCCCTAAGCCCCCTGGGGAGTCAGCCCCACCATTTGTACAATTTTTAATCAGCACCACCTAGGGATGCTTCCAGTCAAATATGGTTGATATCCATTTCTTAGTTCCAGAGAAGAAGTCGCTTAAAGCAATATGGCCAAATTGCCCCCTTTTGGCCCCGCCCCTCAGCCCCCTGGGGGGTCAGCCCCACCATTGTACAATTTTGAATCTCCACCACCTAGGGATGCTTCCAGTCAAATTTAATTGAATTCCAACCAGTCTTTAATATATTTGAAGGTCATTCATTTGAACAAACTTTGTAGCCCTTAATCTCAGCATGCTACTGGCCAAATATCATTAACCTGGGCATTTAGGTAATTGAGAAGTTGTTGAATGTTTTTAACATATTTGACCCCTGTGACCTTGAATATAGGTTAAGGTATGTCATTCATTTCAACAATCTTTGTAGCCCTTTACCCCAGCATGATAATGGCCAAATATAATCACCCTGGGCAATTTGGTTATTCAGAAGAAGTTGTTTAAGGTTTTAAACATATTTGACCCCTGTGACCTTGAATATAATTGAAGGCCATTCATTTGAACAAACTTTGTAGCCCTTCACCCAAACATGCTACTGGCCACATATTATCTCCCTGGGCATGTTGGTTATTGAGAAGAAGATGTTTAAAGTTTTTAACATATTTTACCCCTGTGACCTTGAATGTGGGTGAAGGTCATTCATTTGAACAATCTTGATAGCCCTTTACCCCAGCATGATAATGGCCAAATATAATCACCCTGGGCAATTTGGTTATTCAGAAGAAGTTGTTTAAGGTTTTAAACATATTTGACCCCTGTGACCTTGAATATAGGTTAAGGTATGTCATTCATTTCAACAATCTTTGTAGCCCTTTACCCCAGCATGATAATGGCCAAATATCATCACCCTGAGCATTTTGGTTATTCAGAAGAAGTTGTTGAATGTTTTTAACATATTTGACCCCTGTGACCTTGAATATAGGTGAAGGTCATTCATTTGAACAAACTTTGTGGCCCTTCATCTCAGCATGCTACTGGCCAAATATCATTACCCTGGGCATTTAGGTAATTGAGAAGTTGTTGAATGTTTTTCACATATTTGACCCCTGTGACCTTGAATATAGGTGAAGGTATGTCATTCATTTCAACAATCTTTGTAGCCCTTTACCCCAGCATGATAATGGCCAAATATAATCACCCTGGGCATTTTGGTTATTCAGAAGAAGTTGTTTAAGGTTTTAAACATATTTGACCCCTGTGACCTTGAATATAGGTGAAGGTCATTCATTTGAACAAACTTTGTAGCCCTTCATCTCAGCATGCTACTGGCCAAATATCATTACCCTGGGCATTTTGGTTATTAAGGAGAAGACGTTCAAAGTAAAATATTGACGCCGGACGGACGCCGACAACCAGTTGGTAAAAGCCCGACCAGCAAGACAGGGACTGGTGTGGCACTGGGAAATGTCGACAACCTGATAAAGGCCTGACCAGTATAGCAGTAAGCAGGACCAGAACTGGTGTTGGACTGAGAAATGTCCACAACCTGGTAAAGGCTCGACCAGCAGGACTTGATTTGGACTGGTGTTGGACTCGGAAATGTCACCAAACTAATACAGACTAGATAAAAAAGAGAACTGAGACTGATTGTTGACAACCTGGTACAGGCCAGACAAGAAAGATGACACTCAGTGTTGACTGATTGATGTCCACAACCTGGTACAGGCTAGACAAGAAAGATGACACTCAGTGTTGACTGATGTCCACAAACTAGTAAAGGCCAGCCCATTAGGAGCAGTGAATAGCACCAATTGCAAACTAGAAGAAATAGCCAAGCCTAGTACCTAAGATCTTTGCAAGAGAATAGGCAGTGTGCGATAGAAGAGTGAGCCTCAGCATGGAGAATGAACAGAAGTGGTCAACAAGGAGGGTAACATGAGACAGACGGCCACCCTTTAAGAAGAATAAGATCAACCATTCTTCTTCAAAAGGAGTTTAGTGGAAAAAGAAGAAGAAGAGAAGTTTGTACAGGAAGCCAAGCAGAGTAAGTTTACCATCGCAAAACTGAATACTATTCTGAACTTGAGGAGAATTCCCCAGGTACAGTTGATAACACTACAACACAGTCACACCTTGATAAACTTTTGGACATTTTCAATCTTACTAGTTAGAGACATGGAAAGAAACCTCAATGGTGTAAGAAAGTACCATGATGCCAGTTCTGAAAAAAAGAGGACCAGTTTAACTTTTGGTTTACCTGGTAATATTGTTTAACATTAACAGCTAAGGTCATAAGTTTGCACTGGTGAAATTTAGTGATGACAGCAGAATTCAAGCTTTCGATAAGGTATGGAATACAAACTTTTTGTCAAGTTACTATAATACGGTGACATAGGAACATGACCCAGTGGACTAAGTTTTACCTGCCCAACAGAAGTTTGGCCTAAAGTTGGGCCAAAGGGTTCCACAGGAAGAAATATTCCTGTCCACCCTATACATATTCTTCACCAACATTCTATAACCAGAACTGTCTAAAGCAGTCCATACTAGTACTGTTGATAATTTCTGGAACACTGCAAAGCTATTATTGTAACCACTGCAACATGCAGAATGTGACTTACCGTACACAAAGTCTCAGCGTTGGCAAAAGATTGGTGTGACACCATCAAGGGGGAGAAGAGCAGTCACTTTCTTCACACTCTTTGCACAAGTCCTACGGGGAAACTGATCTGAAATTCAAAGTTCAGTAAACATATAGGGAGTCATTCCTGACAAGTGTATGGTATTGAACAACATAAAATGAAAACAAAAATCTGTGTCAGAAGTAAACTAAACAACATGCACGGGCAGGATCACAATTGGGCAATAATGAACCGATCCTCAAGACAGTCTCTCAGGTAGTTACGGCCACATCGTGATTACTGGTCCAGCTCATTGATGACAGCAGGTAAGCTGCACCAAATGCTCATGAATATAGTTCAGAAACCAGCTCTTAGAATCAAAACATGGATAATGCTGTCAACAGCAATGCAGGCGATAGAATGGGGCTGTCAGGCATACAACCACTGAGCAAGAGACAGGAATACAAAGCAATGGTACAGGTAAGAGAAGAAACTGAAAGGCCAGGACAGAGGTCCATCCATAGGGACTTGGAGGCAATACTGAAAATCATCACATTCATCTCAGGAGCTGATCACAAGTGTGAAGGTGATTGAGAAGAAAACAATTACTTACCTAAAATGATATCAATAAACCAACAAGACTTTGAAAATGAAACTTTTAGTACAATTACTTTCATAAATACCTGCGGCAGATATATAGATATATAATATATATCATATAGAAACACAAGTGGAGAAGACAATTTTATGGATCATACCATGTCTAGGCCTTGAAATCAGGACCTACAACAAAATGCCTTGCCTAGAAATATCCACAGCTATCAATACACCAACCCACCCTTTCAAAAAGAAGGTATGGATTTTGCAGGTCAATCGCTCGATACTCTCAGCATGGACGTAGTGATTTCTACGGATGATATGAGTTCCTGGATCTCAATGTATATACTTATATATATATATGAATACCAATTGTACAAGTATTATCACAAGTTATACCTTTGGAGAGGAATAAAGAGAACTTTATGTGTCTATTCCGGCAGGAAATAATCAAAATATATGGTAGGTTGTTTGAGGACAAATGTGTCCAAATACAGACTCCTCAATCATCATTTAGCCCAATATCATCCTAGACTATGTCTGTGCTGTAAATTGGGTGTTTAGTGGCCTCCCTACACTCTTCATGCAGTGTAGTTCTAGTGTTTGTAACAGCGAACAAGGTATCAAGTTGACCGTCTATATCACAACCTCTCTGTACCTATATCTGCAGAACTTCAGGTAGTTACATTTCCCAGAATATTCAATCAATACTTCGGAAATGTTCTGCTGACTTTCATAGGTATCAAAGAGTATAGGGGTCTGTCTATATTTTTCAGTGACATAAATAATGGTAATAATAATTTGAGGTTCTAATATACCGCATTATCACAACCTAGTTCGTAGGTCGTCTCAAAGCGGTTCCCAAATTATTATTTGTGGTTATAGGGTCTTTGCAACCTGCCAATATCTTTTCTTATTTCCTGGGGAGCATACAGCAGGTGCTGCCATTTCGGCGCTAACAGCTAGCATTCAACAGTTCTAGCGCTGCCCAACCCCGTACTCATTTACAGCTGAGTAGAATGGAACAGATACAACACAGTACCATGCCTTGACTTGAACCAGCAACTCTTTGGTCACGATCCCAGCGTCCCACCACTAGACTACCGTGCATCCTAATGATAAGGACATGATAATTCTCTAGCGGATTGACCCAGATAATTTCCGCTACACTCCCCCTCCTTCAATTAATTCTTTGACCCTGAAGACATACAAGACCATATACCACCTTCCACGGTTATATTTCATTGGTCACCAAATTTTTATCAGGAAAGGAAAATGCAATGACCAGACCAGTGTAGAATGGTATTGTGAAGCATGGTGTTATGAACCGTGGTTCATTTCATCATGGCCTTCATATTACCATACTACACCGGGATTCGAACCTGGGACCTTCCGCACTCTAGATAGACACACATCGATCAAAGCAGTCCATTTCCGCTACATTTTTCCCTTCTACAATAAATTCTTCGACCCGGAGGACACAAGAGACCCTATACCATGCAATTGGCCAGACCGGGATTTGAACCCAGAACCCTCCAAATTCTAAACGAACGCTCTACCAATAGGGTTACCTGGTTGCCTGCCATCTACCCAGTCTTTTTCTGCTACATTGCTATGAAATATGGTTAATATAATATACACGTGTTGACAGAATGTTATGTACAGAAGAACATGACAGAGTACTTTAACAGAAAGTCACTAGGCGACTGTTGGTAATGGACCAATATGACTGGTAAGACTTCTTGAAAATTCATTTTTCCAATGAATGTGACAAACCAGGTGAAAAAGAAATTAAGTTTTACATAATCACTGTCAGATTAAAAACATCATTTGTGGGTTGTCGAAATATCAATTTGAAAAATGTCACTTGTTAATAAAACTGATATAGACAGCTCTACAGTTAGAGCTAGAGCATTGTATGTTGTACAACAAAATTGTCTGAAGTCTGGTATTGTTGGTAAGTGACTGACTCTAAACATTCAGTCAGCTATACCATGTCTATCGACATGTCCACTGCATCATCAATTACATTGCCATCCTAAACACTGTTCACTCTCCATAGTGTCTGGAGATTGACTGATATAGGATGGCGTGTTCCCAAGAATGGGGGTGGGAATAGGGGGAGGAGTAAAATGAGGGTGTTTATCTTTTTCGTGTCTGGAATAAAAATTATAATCCTGTCTTAAAATCAATATGCCAACTAATAATGCATGCTGAAATTGCACAAAGCAAACGCTGCCGAGTTAAAAGTCATTATAGGGTTTCTCTGCCAAATTTACACAGGCTCAGAATACCATCCCGGAAAACAAAAGGCCAACGAGGCCTGCAATAAGGCTGGTGAGAGCGGATATACTATGACGATACTTGAAAACAGCAGCTTCACTCTTTAATGCAGTCTCCAGCAGCCCAGGCCCAGAGCCAGATTCTTGTCGACAACCTCTTATAAAATGATATGATTAGAAGGATAACTGTTATATTTTTAAAATTGTAAATTTATTAGGAATGTATTTTGTCTTCTCTACAGATGGTTTATTGAATCTACAATAACTATTCTATAGACAATTTTACTTGTTATGAAATTTACCTTTGCTTAAAAGATGCAGGTAAGTATTTGCAAAACTTGAACATAACATTCCTACTATAATCCAGGGTTTACAAGGGGAAGCAGTTGGAATAAAATGTTTAACTGTCAAATACTTAAAGAGCAACTGTAAAACTAAGGACCTTAAATTAAATAAAAGTCAGTAAATAAGTTTTCATTTATTTGTTGTTAAAGACTAACTAGATACTTAATGGATCATATATAAAACGAAAAATGATTTCCGATGCCTATAAGTGTCGTTACTTTGATTAAGAGTAATGATGTAGGCAAGGATCTCTACGAGGAGATTAGCGTTATACAAGGATCTATAAGACACAGCGTTGATATACCACAATAGCTCGGGAAATATAAAGTAAAACTTCCTGAAAATGATTATATTTTCTATGAGAGCCATGAATAACAGATGTTACCAGCTGTTTAATAGCAAGTCTATATCACTCTAGTCTGTATCTCCGTCAATCTTCACAATAAATAGGTTAATGAAAGGGACATCTGAAACCAATCAATTTTCTGATGTAAATAAAAAACGTTCCACCAATAAGAGATGAGATTTAAATGTAACTTTTGACAACAGAATTAATGTCGTGATTATGGAGTGTCGTTAAAACTAAATATATACAGCCTTCAACTTAGCGCTTTCACTTATTGCAATTAACTCTTCAGCAATTACAAGGCAACCAAATCGCAGTCATTATTTACGACATGACTGGCACGATTCCTCCCCAGATATTTTCTTCTCCACCGTACCTATAGCTACCAATTACATCACAAGACCATTTTTAAAATTCTTCAATCCACTGTCTGCATGATCACAACAAAACAAATTTTCTAAACAGAATTAGGTTTTCCAATTTCCTTTGTAATGTCTTCTGTACAGACCTCTAAACACAAAGCACTTGTTGTGAGTATTTTAAACACAATTTAAATGCTAAAAACAGCCATTGTTTACCTTAGAATGCATGAAAGGATATATAATTTCATACCATAAATTCTGATAAGCATGGCATTATCAGAACACAAGTACATTTGTAGCTTCTAAATAATTAAACAACAAGAACCTACTGATATGCAATCAGAGAATTCTGCTTGTCTTCCTGTTTTTGACAACAACACATGAGAGCCTGTATGGTAGAGAAAGTAAGGCAAAGTAAAGACACACACAACAGACCCAAAAGGCCTGTATCTTGCTTATTCTAAATGGTTTACACACAGATGGCAAATCAGGAAATCTAACCTGAACAATGAAAGCTTCTACCACTTTGCAATTTTAAAACTAATTCATATGTCATTGGTAAACTATTGTCATTAGTAAACATATGTCATTAGTAAACTATTGTCATTAGTAAACATGTCATTAGTAAACTATTGTCATTAGTAAACTATTATCATTGGTAAACATGTCATTAGTAAACATATGTTATTAGTAAACATATGTCATTAGTAAACTATTGTCATAAGTAAACTATTGTCATTAGTACACATATGTCATTAGTAAACATATGTCATTTGTAAACTATTGTCATTGGTAAACTATTGTCATTAGTAAACTATTGTCATTAGTAAACTATTATCATTAGTAAACATGTCATTAGTAAACATATGTCATTTGTAAACTATTGTCATTAGTAAACATATGTCATTAGTAAACTATTGTCATTTGTAAACTATTGTCATTAGTAAACTATTGTCATTAGTAAACTATTGTCATTAGTAATCTATTGTTATCAGGAAACTATTATCATTAGTAAACATGTCATTTGTAAACTATTGTCATCAGTAAACATAGGTCATTTGTAAACTATTGTCATTAGTAAACATATGTCATTTGTAAACTATTGTCATTAGTAAACATGTCATTAGTAAACATATGTCATTAGTAAACATGTCATTAGTAAACATGTCATTAGTA